CGTGGTGGAATTGGACGTGATGATTGCTCGGCCATCTGGTTCCCCGGCGCTGGCTTTGGACGGCGCGTTGGTTTGGGCTTGTCCCAAGCGGCGACTTACTTTGGCCAAATGGAGTCTCAGCACCGAATGTCGATTTGGCAGGTCGTTGCACTTGTTTATAGACTGGGGGACCGTGAACCATGACTCAAGTAATCCGCGGCTCATAGGATTCTTACTTCTCGCAAAAATGTTGACCTCGTCAACTTTGGATGTATGGTCGAATGGGCCGCAACTCGAGAATTGGCGTCATTTCTCCGCACTGCAGCCGCGTGTTTGGCAATTCGCGCCTTGAAAAGTTCCCCAGTTTCTCCGCTGTATTTCCTTTGTCAGCAACTGCATCAGATCCTGTAGACGACTCCAGATGTTTCTTGCTGCGACAGTGGGTCTTTTGTTTTCATTATCTGACGCCTTATGCTTACCTCCGACCTGTGTACGACTCGAACTCCGAGTGGCGCGAAAAGACCGCCGGCGGCCTCCGAGCCATTTTCGACGTACGGGATCGCTTGCCAAAAATTTGAGGTTGGTACGATTTTGTTGCCCATTTCGCTCACTTATGCACCAGTTGATGAAGTTTTGCGGGTAGCCATTTTCACTGAACATCCGTCGAAGATATTGTCTTTCGGCAACTACGTCTTCTGATGCACTGCAGCCCCATCTCAATATACCGAAATAGCGCCCTTACGTAACTGCATTTATAGCTGATTAGGTGGGTGCCGTTAAAGTTCAGTACTTGCATCGTGTTTGTCGCTTTCCTGAACAATTTAATCTCCAGGCCGGTTGCGTACCAGTATATCGTTGCTGGAGGACGTTGGATTATGCAGTTTACGATTTTTTTCTCCATTGCTGCTTCGCGAATCGCTTGCTTTTCTTCTCGGTTACTTCCTGGGACTCACGTGTTCGCTTGTATTAAGAAATTATGACTACTCAATTATGAACTTTTAAATTTGTACTATTGGGTTAAAATTTGCTGCCAGAACTACTGTAACGCATGAAATTTACAAGTTCAAAAAAAAGTCCCGATAGGACCCGTTGATTATGCTATGCATTGTAGACAGTAAGGGCTCTTTTAGGTCAGGTGCCGTTCATCCGAGTCTGATCTGTTTTGGACAAAAACGGCGTGCAATAATGGCTGAAAAATAGTAGCTGGTCATTAATAGTCATTTAAAAGATAAATTAGCGAGCATACGTTTGATTTCGATAAATCCTTTTCAGGCCTGTACATTTATATGCTAATTAAATTTTAAAAAACTATGCTGGTTGGTGGAAAGATTGAGTGTTGTTGTTGTTGTCAGAGGCGGTGGGGGAGGGTGGGGGTGGGGAAACTGAGGTCAAAATGCCAGTGTCTAGGCCTGAGGTCGGGAACCGGCAAAAGTAGCTTATGTAGCCCCACTCATATACCCCTAGTCGCAGGATTTTGTCCCGCAAAAACGGTGGCTATAGAGTTTTGGGGGTGTCGAAATAAGATAAGCAGTGAAGGAAATTTGTAGAAGTAAGTGTAAAGTGAAAAAATGTAGTCGAAGTTGC